CGGAATAAATCCGCCCCAATCGGTGCTTATTGGACTCAATCATCGTTGGAGAATAGCCTCAGGCTGAATCCGTTATCTGTAGCCTTCAATATCCAAAGAAAATGGCCTTTCGTCGCCCAAGAAATTACGAAAATGTCATTCGAAAATAAATTGGCCCAAATCGATGCTTAACGGACTCATCATCCGCGGAGAATAGGATCAATAGACTTCATTATCGGTGGAGAATAGCCTCGGCCTGATTTCGGGATTAGTAGCCTCCATAATCAAAAGAAAATGAAATTTCGGATAAATCGCCCGAATTCTGTGATGGTACCCCTTTGGAATCTGCCAAAAACTGACCCCGAATAAATCCGCCCAAATCGGTGCTTAATGGACTCAATCATCGTTGGAGTATAGCCTCAGGCCGAATCCGTGATCTGTAGCATTCAATATCCAAAGAAAATGGCCTTTCGTCGCCCAAGAAATAACGAAAATACCATTCGAAAATAAATTGGCCCAAATCAATGCTTAACAGACTTATCATCCGTGGAGAATAGGATCAATAGACTTCATTATCAGTGGAGAATAGCATCGGCCTGATTTCGTGATCTGTAGCCTTCAGAATCGAAAGAAAATGCCATTTCGGATAAATCGCCTGAAATATGTGATGGTACCACTTTGGAATTTGCCAAAAATTATCCCGGAATAAATCCGCCCAAATCGGTACTTAATGGACTCAATCATCGTTGTAGAATAGCCTCAGGCCGAACCCGTGATCTGTAGCCTTCAATATCCAAAGAAAATGGCCTTTCGTTGCCCAATAAATTACGAAAATGCCATTCGAAAATAAATTGGCCCAAATCGATGTTTAACGGACTTATCATCCGCGGATAATAGGATCAATAGACTTCATTGTCGGTGGAGAATAGCCTCGGCCTGATTCCGTGATCTGTAGCCTCCAGAATTGAAAGAAAATGCCATTTCGGATAAATCGCCCAAAATCTGTGATGGTACCCCTTTGGAATCTGCCAAAAATTGACCCGGAATAAATCGCCCCCAATCGGTGCTTATTGGACTCAATCATCGTTGGAGAATAGCCTCAGGCTGAATCCGTTATCTGTAGCCTTCAATATCCAAAGAAAATGGCCTTTCGTCGCCCAAGAAATTACGAAAATGTCATTCGAAAATAAATTGGCCCAAATCGATGTTTAACGGACTTATCATCCGTGGAGAATAGGATCAATAGACTTCATTATCGGTGGAGAATAGCCTCGGCCTGATTCCGGGATCTGTAGCCTCCAAAATCAAAAGAAAATGGCATTTTGGATAAATCGCCCGTAATCTGTGATGGTACCCCTTTGGAATCTGCCAAAAATTGACCCGGAATAAATCCGCCCAAATCGGTGCTTAATGGACTCAGTTATCGTTGGAGAATAGCCTCAGGCCGAATCCATGATCTGTAGCCTTCAATATCCAAAGAAAATGGCCTTTCGTCGCCCAAGAAATTACGAAAATACCATTCGAAAATAAATTGGCCCAAATCGATGCTTAACGGACTTATCATCCGCGAAGAATAGGATCAATAGACTTCATTATCGGTGGAGAATAGCCTCGGCCTGATTCCGTGATCTGTAGCCTCCAGAATCGAAAGAAAATGTCATTTCGGAAAAATCGCCCGAAATCTGTGATCCCTTTGGAATCTGCCAAAAATTGACCCGGAATAAATCCGCCCAAATCGGTGCTTAATGGGCTCAATCATCGTTGGAGAATAGCCTCAGGCTGAATCCGTGATCGGTAGCCTTCAATATCAAAAGAAAATGGCCTTTCGTTGCCCAAGAAATTACGAAAATGCCATTCGAAAATAAATTGGCCCAAATCGATGCTTAACGGACTTATCATCCGCGGAGAATAGGATCAATAGACTTTATTATCGGTGGAGAATAGCCTCAGCCTGATTCCGTGATCTGTAGCCTCCAGAATCGAAAAAATGGCATTTCGGATAAATCGCTCGAAATCTGTGATGGTACCCCTTTGGAATCTGCCAAAAATTGACCCCGAATAAATCCGCCCAAATCGGTGCTTAATGGACTCAATCATCGTTGGAGAATAGTCTCAGGCCGAATCCGTGATCTGTAGCCTTCAATATCCAAAGAAAATGGCCTTTTGTTGCCCAAGGAATTACCATAATGCCATTCGAAAATAAATTGGCCCAAATCGATGCTTAACGGACTTATCATCCGTGGAGAATAGGATCAATAGACTTCATTATCGGTGGAGAATAGCCTCGACCTGATTCCGTGATCTGTAGCCTCTAGAATCAAAAAAATGGCATTTCGGATAAATCGCCCGAAATCTGTGATGGTACCCCTTTGGAATCTGCCAAAAATTGACACCGAATAAATCCGCACAAATCGGTGATTAATGGACTCAATCATCGTTGGAGAATAGCCTCAGGCCGAATCCGTGATCTGTAGCCTTCAATATCAAAAGAAAATGGCCTTTCGTTGTCCAACAAATTACGAAAATGCCATTCGAAAATAAATTGGCCCAAATCGATGGTTAACGGACTCATCATCCGCGGAGAATAGGATCAATAGACTTCATTATCGGTGGAGAATAGCCTCGGCCTGATTCCGGGATTAGTAGCCTCCATAATCGAAAGAAAATGGAATTTCGGATAAATTGCCCGAATTCTGTGATGGTACCCCTTTGGAATCTGCCAAAAACTGACTGTAACATCCCAAACCCGGGATATTTAATCGAATCATTTCGGCTCGATAAGCATAATCGAAGACCCAATGCCAAAACCAAAGGAGCAAACGAGGATTGAAGCGGCCGGGGCTGAAAGACCAAAATACCCTACCATAAACCAGAAATACCCGACCGGTATATTTTGTAATACCCGACCGGTTATTTTGTAAAAACCCGACCGGGTATAAAATTAGGTCAGACCGGGTTTTTTCCTTAAAATACCCGACCGGGTTTTGGGGTTGGTGAGACCGGGGATTTACCGGTCCGACCGGGGATTTTTGTCGGATAAAGTATTATTATTTTAGAAATACCCGACCGAAACCCAGGAATACCCGACCGGGTATTTCGACCGGGTTTTGCAACCGGCTGCCTATAAAAGGAGGAAGAATGGCCAGCTGTCATTCACACCAAAAATCGTACAAACCGAATTTGAGAGAGAGGAAGGGCAGTTTCTAGAGAGAGAGAGAGAGGGTGACGAGCAAGAGCTCCCAGGCGCTCTAGGTCGGTCTTCAACAGCTGTGCAGAGTCGGGATTCCGTCAGAAATAAGGTGTGTGGACCCTGCGGTGAATAGGCAGTGTTTTGCTATGTGCTATTTGTTTAATATTGAAACATAGCTCAGGATTTAACGAAGATAAAATGAAGATGTCGTTATTATGATTTGGGTACTCGAGTAGAATTGATTAATTATCCTAATACGATTATTTGGGATAGTTGTAAACCCCTATCGGATCCGTGGAAGTTTGAATAATGGACAGCTACCATGGGAGGATTCTGTCTAGGCTAGTGGTTTTTAATCGAGACCTTCGTGGTACTCGCCCACTTACCTAGGAATTCACCCGGTAAAATCTTTTGGAAATATGGTTGTAAGAAGTGTACTACGAGTAGTGGCACTCATTCCTTTTCTCGGAGTTTTACCACGGCGGGTCCGTCTTTCAAATTACACGGTGGTTATCACCAATTAAATGGTTGACGATATCGTCTGCGAATGAATTTATACTCGATGATTAAATCGATGACGATAATGATGACAGGTAGTTTTGGAGTTTTTCATAGTCTGAGAAGATTCATCTTTTCGAGGTGAGTGTAAAGGGGGTAAATTCTACGCCTTACGTATTCTTTCAAGAGTTACCAGTTTGAGTATTTTGCTGAAATGAATATCGTTGTTTGATTGTTGATACGTGATTTTGTTTGAGCTATACTTGATGAAAAGATGCATGAGTTCTTATTTTAAATTTAAGCTTAAGTTGCTAAGTGATCTTTAAAGTTAATAAAGCAAGTCCTTTTTGAGAAGTAACTCACCTTCAAGAAGGTGAAGTCATTTTAAGTGTTTTTAGTCACTAGCGCCAGTCCGTTGCCTTTTGAGACATTTTGAGATAGAGCAGCAGTTATGCTCTTGAGACTTTTAAGATGAGCAGCAGTTATGCTCTTGAGAATCGTGGTGGAGAACCACCACGATAAGTTTAAGATGTTAGGGGGATGAATCTTACGACTCCCCTAACTAAGTTTAAGTTTAAGGAAAGCCTGAGTGGCTTCTCATACGTATGAGTTGGCAACCGGACTAGCTAGTGGGGGATCCCAGTGTCGGTCAAAGTTTCAAAGTTTTGAGAGTGGGGTTAAGAGTAACTCCCACGTTTTAAGAGTTAAAGTTTAAAGGGCGGAAGTATATTCAACTTCTACCAAAATTATTGTTTGAGGAACACTAAAGATAATAATCCGTAAGTGTTTGAAGTTTAAAGTAATGGCGTAGACTGACCCCAACTCACTCACCAGATCGTAGAGGAGGAGATCAGGATCAACTAGCTCGGGGACAGCAAGTTAGAGGGGCTCAACATCAGCGTCGTTAAAGAATGGCGGACCAAGCATCAGAGTAGGCTTTGAGAAAACTCTTAAGTTATTTGGACCTTGTGGTTGAAAGTTAAGAATTGGATATTCTGGTCGTTTGTTTCTTTTAAAGAATAAGATTTGGAGTTTTGCCCACATGTTTAGGGCTTGTCATTGAGATTTCGAATTATTAAAGTTTGGTGTATTTATTTTAAGTGTGTTTATGAATAATTTTCAAATATACCCCGGGGTAGAAATGTCCTTTACATGTTTCAGAAAGTTGGGGTGTGACATTTTGGTATCAGAGCCGGTCTTCCTCTGTTCCTTGATCTCCAAGGAATACTGAAATATCGGTCTCAGTTTTAAAGGCTTTTGTTTTAAAGGAAAGGAAAAACGAGTCAAGGATCTCCTTTAAGAGTTTATAGAATCTCCAGTCTACTATCAACCACATTAAGAAAGAAATAGCTGAGTTCTAACGAGATCGTATTCATTTACAGAGCAAGTGTTGGCCAGAATCCCGCCCCGCTTGTGCCACCACGAGTGAGACCTCCACCGGATTACGTAGCTTTTCGGAAAAGAAAGGTGGAGGATTTTAAGGGAGACCATTCAACGGACCCCATGGAGGTTGAGCAGTGGCTAGCTAAGGTCACTCGTACCCTGATCGAGATGAGGGCGGATGACGAGGACAGGGTACTGCTGACAGTGTCTTTGCTACAGGACACTGCTTACAACTGGTGGATTAACCAGCCAGCTAGCCGAGAGGACCCACCAGCTGTCACCTGGCCAGAGTTCGTGCAATCATTTCGAGACCACTTTGTACCAGAAGCCTATCGAATCGCGAAGCAGAGGGAATTCTTGCTAATAAGGCAGAGGTGGGGCAACGAAGGGAAAGAAAGTGTGGCTGACTACACAGCAAGATTTGACAAACTGTTTGCCTATAGAGGACCTCAATTTCAGGATGCACACACACAACGCATCCACTACCTGGAAAGCCTGAAGCCTCTTTTTAGGCGTCAGCTGAGTATGCTGAATTGGAACAATAGAGAGGAGATCTATCAAGCAGCTCTCCGGTTGGAGAGGGCAGATACAGCCCTGCACGAGGAGGGGATGCAAAGAGAAGGGAACAAGAGAAAGGCTGCCAGCCTTCCCGAGGGGCCAAGCCAGCTGAGTCATTCGAGGAGGAAACCGAACCAGAGCAACTATGGGGCCACTCAGAGCCATGCCGGCTCAACCCGATCAGTACCAAACTATTTTCACCGAGACCCATGTAACAAGTGTGGGAGGATTCACCCAGGAGAGTGTAAAGTACATATGGGAGGCATATGCTATCACTGCAATGAGCCGGGCCACTATGCTAGAGATTTCCCTAAGAGAGGAGGGCAAGGGAGAGCCCAGTCCGAGCAATCAGTCCGGGGCGGAGGAGGAAGAACTCAGACCGGACAGCAGTTTGACAACCAGCCAAACCGGTCTAATCACCAGCAGGGAGGAAATGCAGGGCGGTTCAACCGCAATGAGCGGGATCGAGGTCAAGGATCTCAAACAGCTGGGCAACCAAGACTGTTTTCCATGAGAAGAGAAGAAGCTGACGCGGCACCTGAAGTGGTGACTGGTATGATCTCGCTTTACCACCAGCCCGCTTTTGTGTTATTTGATTCCGGTTCCACGCACTCTTTCATTTCTACCAAGCTTGCTAGAACCTTAGGGATTCCATTTGTGAGGTTGGGGCAGAATTTAAGGGTCAGGACCCCAGTGGGGGATACCCTTATAGTAGACTCAGTCATTCGGGACTGTGTTATCACTGTGGCGGGACACGAATTCGAAGCGAACCTAATTCTACTACCCTTCGACGAGTTTGATGTCATCTTGGGTATGGATTGGCTGTCAAAGAATAGAGCAAATGTGGACTGCTACAAGAAGGAGGTTAGCCTGGAGGTAGAAGGAAAGGGCACTGCTTTGTTCAAAGGGACTAAGAAGCTTATCCCTGGGTGCTTAATCTCCGCGGTTAAGGCATTCTCATTAATTCAAGAAGGATGTGAAGCATATTTGGCTCATGTCAAGGAGGTGCAAGAGAAAAAGATAGAAGATGTACCTATCGTAAGGGAATACCTTGAGGTATTTCCCGAAGAACTTCCTGGGCTACCGCCACAACGGGAGGTGGAATTTGATATTGAAGTGATTCCTGGCACAGCACCGATATCTATTCCTCCATACTGAATGGCGCCAGTAGAACTAAAGGAGTTGAAGGAGCAATTGCAGGAGCTATTAGACAAGGGCTTTATTCGCCCTAGTGTATCACCTTGGGGAGCACCGGTATTGTTTGTGAAGAAGAAGGATGGCAGTATGAGGCTGTGCATCGACTATAGGAAGCTAAACAAGGCTACCATCAAGAACCGCTATCCTTTACCAAGGATAGATGATCTCTTCGACCAACTACAAGGAGCGCGCGTGTTTTCGAAGATTGATCTGTGGTAAGGGTACCATCAGTTGAGAGTGGCGGATGGTTCAATACCCAAGACGGCTTTTCGGACCCGGTATGGCCACTATGAATTCCTGGTCATGCCATTTGGACTAACTAATGCACCGGCAGCCTTTATGGCGCTAATGAACCGAGTTCTTCATGAATACCTAGATAAGTTTGTCATCGTCTTCATTGATGACATTCTCATCTACTCTAAGAGCGAGAAAGATCATGAAGAGCACTTAAGGGTGGTGTTACGAAAACTAAAGGAGGAAGAGTTGTATGCCAAGTTCTCTAAATGCGATTTCTGGCTAGACGAAGTCCTATTTTTGGGGCATATGATCTCTGGTCGTGGAGTTGAAGTGGATCCTAAGAAGGTTGAAGCTGTGACAAACTGGATACCACCAAAGAACGTTTCCGAAGTACGGAGTTTTCTGGGTTTAGCTGGGTACTACCGAAGGTTTGTTGAAGGCTTCTCCAGTATTGCAAGACCTATGACACAACTATTGCAGAAGGGGAAACCCTTTGTTTGGGATAAGAAGTGTCAAACGGCATTTGAGTTACTGAAGGAGAAGCTAACCTCTGCACCAGTGTTAGCACTACCAACCAGTGGTGGGGAGTATTCTATCTATAGTGATGCTTCCTACCAAGGATTGGGGTGCGTTCTGATGCAGGATAAGAAGGTGATCGCCTATGCTTCCAGGCAGCTACGATCCCATGAGGTGAATTACCCCACCCATGACCTGGAGTTGGCAGCAGTGGTTTTTGCCTTGAAGCTATGGAGACACTACCTCTATGGAGAGACGTTCAGCATCTTCACTGATCATAAGAGTCTCCAGCACTTGACTGATCAAAAGGAGTTGAACATGAGGCAGAGGAGATGGATGGAACTCTTAAGTGATTATGACTGCACTATCAAGTATCATCCAGGAAAGGCAAACGTAGTGGCTGATGCATTGAGCAGGAAGAAAGAGAGTCCCTTACCAGAGTTAATCTCCTTGAGAGCCATGAACGTGGAACTAAAGCTAGAGGAAGTGACGAAACTGTTAGCAACCTTAAAGGTTTGTCCTATGCTACACGAACGAATCAAGGAGAAGCAGCGTGAGGACATGGAGCTGGAAAAGTACAAGAAGCAACTGTTAGAGGGGAAGAACACCAAATTTAAACTGGTAGATGGAGTACTAATGTATCAAGGAAGGTTGTGTGTGCCAGATGTTGACAAGCTAAGGGAGGATATCCTGGATGAGTCCCACTCTGCACCATATGCGATGCACCCCGGGGCTACGAAAATGTACCGTACCCTCAAGGAACATTTTTGGTGGCCAAGGTTGAAGAAGGAGGTGGCCGCTCACGTATATCAGTGCTTGGAGTGTCAAATGATAAAGGCTGAGCACCAAGCCCCAGTTATTGAGCACTTACCACTCGAAATTCCGCAGTGGACTTGGGAGAAAATCACCATGGATTTTGTGTATGGTTTACCGAGGACCCCAAGGGGAAATGATGGAGTATGGGTGATTGTGGACCGCTTCTCGAAGGTGGCTCATTTTATACCCATCAGGTTCAAGCCAGGACTGGAGGAGCTGGCTAGGTTGTATGTGAGGGAGATAGTGAGATTGCATGGAGTTCCACTCAGTATCGTGTCTGATCGCGACCCTAGCTTCACGGCACGATTCTGGGTGAGTCTTCAAAAGGCAATGGGCACTAAAGTTCACTTCTCTACCGCATATCACCCCCAGACAGATGGACAGTCAGAGAGAACGATTCAGACACTAGAGGACCTGTTAAGGGCGTGTGTCTTGACCATGGAAGGAGCTTGGGATGAGCATTTGCCTTTAATGGAGTTCGCTTACAACAACCAGTATCACAGCTCGATACAAGCAGCTCCATATGAGGTATTGTATGGGAGGAAGTGCCGTACACCATTGTACTGGGATGCAGAGGGCATGCGACAGCTAGAAGGTCCGGAGATGATACAGAAAGCGATGGAGAAGGTGGAGGTGATTCGCCGGAACTTGAAAACAGCTCAAAACCGGCAGAAGAGTAATGCGGAGAGGCCAGGGAACCCGCGAAGTTATGAAGTGGGTGATATGGTATTCCTAAGGGTGTCTCCTTGGAAGGGATTGATGAGATTTGGTAAAAAGGGAAAACTTAGTCCGAGGTATATCGGTCCATATGAGGTGTTGGAGCGCATTGGACCTTTAGCCTATCGACTTGCCTTACCTCCAAGCCTATCTAGGATCCACGACGTTTTTCACGTCAGCATGATAAGGGCGTATCGATCCAACCCGGAGCATGTGATCAGACACGAGGACATCCGGTTGGAGGATGATTTGACCTATGAGGAGGTTCCAATCCAGATTGTGGATAGGCAGGAGAAGGAGTTGAGAAGGAAGAAGATTGCCATGGTAAAGGTGGTATGGCGAAATCAGGGCAGTGAAGCTGCAACTTGGGAAACAGAGAGTAGCATAAAAGAGAAGTATCCCGAATTGTTTAACAATGTTTAGAGAAGTTATTATAAGACCCACTGGTAATAATTATTAATACTTCGTAACAATAGTTACGATGACTCAGTTTCTCCGTCATGTTTAACAACGTTGTGCGGAACATAATTTCGAGGTCGAAATTTCTTTAAGGGTGGAGGAAATGTAACATCCCAAACCCGGGATATTTAATCGAATCATTTCGGCTCGATAAGCATAATCGAAGACCCAACGCCAAAACCAAAGGAGCAAACGAGGATTGAAGCGGTCGGGGCTGAAAGACCAAAATACCCTACCATAAACCAGAAATACCCGACCGGTATATTTTGTAATACCCGATCGGTTATTTTGTAAAAACCCGACCGGGTATAAAATTAGGTCAGACCGGGTTTTTCCCTTAAAATACCCGACCGGGTTTTGGGGTTGGTGAGACCGGGGATTTACCGGTCCGACCGGGGATTTTTGTCGGATAAAGTATTATTATTTTAGAAATACCCGACCGAAACCCAGGAATACCCGATCGGGTATTTCGACCGGGTTTTCCAACCGGCTGCCTATAAAAGGAGGAAGAATGGCCAGCTGTCATTCACACCAAAAATCGTACAAACCGAATTTGAGAGAGAGGAAGGGCAGTTTCTAGAGAGAGAGAGAGAGAGGGTGACGAGCAAGAGCTCCCAGGCGCTCTAGGTCGGTCTTCAACAGCTGTGCAGAGTCGGGATTCCGTCAGAAATAAGGTGTGTGGACCCTGCGGTGAATAGGCAGTGTTTTACTACGTGCTATTTGTTTAATATTGAAACATAGCTCAGGATTTAACGAAGATAAAATGAAGATGTCGTTATTATGATTTGGGTACTCGAGTAGAATTGATTAATTATCCTAATACGATTATTTGGGATAGTTGTAAACCCCTATCGGATCCGTGGAAGTTTGAATAATGGACAGCTACCATGGGAGGATTCTGTCTAGGCTAGTGGTTTTTAATCGAGACCTTCGTGGTACTCGCCCACTTACCTGGGAATTCACCCGGTAAAATCTTTTGGGAATATGGTTGTAAGAAGTGTACTACGAGTAGTGGCACTCATTCCTTTTCTCGGAGTTTTACCACGGCGGGTCCGTCTTTCAAATTACACGGTGGTTATCACCAATTAAATGGTTGACGATATCGTCTGCGAATGAATTTATACTCGATGATTAAATCGATGACGATAATGATGACAGGTAGTTTTGGAGTTTTTCATAGTCTGAGAAGATTCATCTTTTCGAGGTGAGTGTAAAGGGGGTAAATTCTACGCCTTACGTATTCTTTCAAGAGTTACCAGTTTGAGTATTTTGCTGAAATGAATATCGTTGTTTGATTGTTGATACGTGATTTTGTTTGAGCTATACTTGATGAAAAGATGCATGAGTTCTTATTTTAAATTTAAGCTTAAGTTGCTAAGTTATCTTTAAAGTTAATAAAGCAAGTCCTTTTTGAGAAGTAACTCACCTTCAAGAAGGTGAAGTCATTTTAAGTGTTTTTAGTAACTAGCGCCAGTCCGTTGCCGTTTGAGACATTTTGAGATAGAGCAGCAGTTATGCTCTTGAGACTTTTAAGATGAGCAGCAGTTATGCTCTTGAGAATCGTGGTGGAGAACCACCACGATAAGTTTAAGATGTTAGGGGGATGAATCTTACGACTCCCCTAACTAAGTTTAAGTTTAAGGAAAGCCTGAGTGGCTTCTCATACGTATGAGTTGGCAACCGGACTAGCTAGTGGGGGATCCCAGTGTCGGTCAAAGTTTCAAAGTTTTGAGAGTGGGGTTAAGAGTAACTCCCACGTTTTAAGAGTTAAAGTTTAAAGGGCGGAAGTATATTCAACTTCTACCAAAATTATTGTTTGAGGAACACTAAAGATAATAATCCGTAAGTGTTTGAAGTTTAAAGTAATGGCGTAGACTGACCCCAACTCACTCACCAGATCGTAGAGGAGGAGATCAGGATCAACTAGCTCGGGGATAGCAAGTTAGAGGGGCTCAACATCAGCGTCGTTAAAGAATGGCGGACCAAGCATCAGAGTAGGCTTTGAGAAAACTCTTAAGTTATTTGGACCTTGTGGTTGAAAGTTAAGAATTGGAGATTCTGGTCGTTTGTTTCTTTTAAAGAATAAGATTTGGAGTTTTGCCCACATGTTTAGGGCTTGTCATTGAGATTTCGAATTATTAAAGTTTGGTGTATTTATTTTAAGTGTGTTTATGAATAATTTTCAAATATACCCCGGGGTAGAAATGTCCTTTACATGTTTCAAAAAGTTGGGGTGTGACACTGACCCCGAATAAATCCGCCCAAATCGGTGCTTAATGGACTCAATCATCGTTGGAGTATAGCCTCAGGCCGAATCCGTGATCTGTAGCCTTCAATATCCAAAGAAAATGGCCTTTCGTCGCCCAAGAAATAACGAAAATACCATTCGAAAATAAATTGGCCCAAATAAATGCTTAACAGACTTATCATCCGTGGAGAATAGGATCAACAGACTTCATTATCAGTGGAGAATAGCATCGGCCTGATTTCGTGATCTGTAGCCTTCAGAATCGAAAGAAAATGACATTTCAGATAAATCGCCTGAAATCTGTGATGGTACCCCTTTGGAATCTGCCAAAAATTGTCCCGGAATAAATCCGCCCAAATCGGTACTTAATGGACTCAATCATCGTTGGAGAATAGCCTCAGGCCGAACCCGTGATCTGTAGCCTTCAATATCCAAAGAAAATGGCCTTTCGTTGCCCAATAAATTACGAAAATGCCATTCGAAAATAAATTGGCCCAAATCGATGTTTAACGGACTTATCATCCGCGGATAATAGGATCAATAGACTTCATTATCGGTGGAGAATAGCCTCGGCCTGATTCCGTGATCTGTAGCCTCCAGAATTGAAAGAAAATGCCATTTCGGATAAATCGCCCAAAATCTGTGATGGTACCCCTTTGGAATCTGCCAAAAATTGACCCGGAATAAATCCGCCCCAATCGGTGCGTATTGGACTCAATCATCGTTGGAGAATAGCCTCAGGCTGAATCCGTTATCTGTAGCCTTCAATATCCAAAGAAAATGGCCTTTCGTCGCCCAAGAAATTACGAAAATGTCATTCGAAAATAAATTGGCCCAAATCGATGTTTAACGGACTTATCATCCGTGGAGAATAGGATCAATAGACTTCATTATCGGTGGAGAATAGCCTCGGCCTGATTCCGGGATCTGTAGCCTCCAAAATCAAAAGAAAATGGCATTTTGGATAAATCGCCCGTAATCTGTGATGGTACCCCTTTGGAATCTGCCAAAAATTGACCCGGAATAAATCCGCCCAAATCGGTGCTTAATGGACTCAGTTATCGTTGGAGAATAGCCTCAGGCCGAATCCATGATCTGTAGCCTTCAATATCCAAAGAAAATGGCCTTTCGTCGCCCAAGAAATTACGAAAATACCATTCGAAAATAAATTGGCCCAAATCGATGCTTAACGGACTTATCATCTGTGGAGAATAGGATCAATAGACTTCATTATCGGTGGAGAATAGCCTCGGCCTGATTCCGTGATCTGTAGCCTCCAGAATCGAAAGAAAATGGCATTTCGGAAAAATCGCCCGAATTCTGAGATCCCTTTGGAATCTGCCAAAAATTGAATCCGAATAAATCCGCCCAAATCGGTTCTTAATGGACTCAGTTATCATTGGAGAATAGCCTCAGGCCGAATCCATGATCTGTAGCCTTCAAAATCCAAAGAAAATGGCCTTTCGTAGACCGAGAAATTACGAAAATGCCATTCAAAAATAAATTGGCCCAAATCGATGCTTAACGGACTTATCATCTGTGGAGAATAGGATCAATAGACTTCATTATCGGTGGAGAATAGGATCGACCTGATTCCTTGAACTGTAGCGTCCAGAATCGAAAAAAAATGGCATTTCGAATAAATCGCACGAAATTTGTGATGGTACCCCTTTTGAATCTGCCAAAAATTGACCCCGAATAAATCCGTCAAAATCGGTGCTTAATGGACTCAAACATCGTTGGAGAATAGCCTCAGGCCGAATCCGTGATCTGTAGCCTTCAATATCCAAAGAAAATGGCCTTTCGTCGCCCAAAAAATTATGAAAATGTCATTCGAAAATAAATTTGCCCAAATCGATGTTTAACGGACTTATCTCATCCGTGGAGAATAGGATCAATAGACTTCATTATCGGTGGAGAATAGCCTCGGCCTGATTCCGGGATCTGTAGCCTCCAAAATCAAAAGAAAATGGAATTTTGGATAAATAGCCCGTAATCTGTGATGGTACCGCTTTGGAATCTGCCAAAAATTGACCCGAAATAAATCCGCCCAAATCGGTGCTTAATGGGCTCAATCATCGTTGGAAAATAGCCTCAGGCCGAATCCATGATCTGTAGCCTTCAATATCCAAAGAAAATGGCATTTCGTCGCCCAAGAAATTACGAAAATACCATTAGAAAATAAATTGGCCCAAATCGATGCTGAACGGACTTATCATCCGTGGAGAATAGGATCAATAGACTTCATTATCGGTGGAGAATAGCCTCGGCCTGATTCCGTGATCTGTAGCCTCCAGAATCTAAAGAAAATGGCATTTCGGAAAAATCGCCTGAAATCTGAGATCCCTTTGGAATCTGCCAAAAATTGACCCCGAATAAATCCGCCCAAATCGGTGCTTAATGAACTCAATCATCGTTGGAGAATAGCCTCAGGCCGAATCCGTGATCGGTAGCCTTCAATATCAAAAGAAAATGGCCTTTCATTGCCCAAGAAATTACGAAAATGCCATTCGAAAATAAATTGGCCCAAATCGATGCTTAACGGACTTATCATCCGCAGAGAATAGGATCAATAGACTTTATTATCGGTGGAGAATAGCCTCAGCCTGATTCCGTGATCTGTAGACTCCAGAATCGAAAGAAAATGGCATTTCCGATAAATCGCCCGAAATCTGTGATAGTACCCCTTTGGAATCTGCCAAAAATTGACCCCGAATAAATCCGCCCAAATCGGTGCATAATGGACTCAATCATCGTTGGAGAATAGCCTCAGGCCAAATCCGTGATCTGTAGCCTTCAATATCCAAAGAAAATGGCCTTTCGTTGCCCAAGGAATTACCATAATGCCATTCGAAAATAAATTGGCCCAAATCGATGCTTAACGGACTAATCATCCGTGGAGAATATGATCAATAGACTTCATTGTCAGTGGAGAATAGCCTTGTCCTGATTCCGTGATCAGTAGCCTCCAGAGTCGAAAGAAAATGGCATTTCGGATAAATCGCCCGAAATCTGTGATGGTACCCCTTTAGAATATGCCAAAAATTGACCCGGAATAAATCCGCCCAAATCGGTGCTTAAAGGACTCAATCATCGTTGGAGAATAGCCTCAGGCCGAATCCGTGATCTGTAGCCTTCAATATCCAAAGAAAATGGCCTTTCGTGCCCAAGAAATTACGAAAATGCCATTCGAAAATAAATTGGCCCAAACCGATGCTTAACGGACTTATCATCTGCGGAGAATAGGATCAATAGACTTCATTATCGGTGGAGAATAGCCTCGGCCTGATTCTGTGATCTGTAGCCTCCAGAATCTAAAGAAAATGGCATTTCGGATAAATCGTCCGAAATCTGTGATGGTTCCCCTTTGGAATCTGCCAAAAATTGAGCCGGAATAAATCCGCCCAAATCGGTGCTTAATGGACGCAATCATCAATGGAGAATAACCTCAGGCCGAATCCGTGATCTGTAGACTTCAATATCAAAAGAAAATGGCCTTTCGTTGCCTAAGGAATTACCAAAATGCCATTCGAAAATAAATTGGCCCAAATCGATGCTTAACGGACTTATCGTCTGTGGAAAATAGGATCAATAGACTTCATTATCGGTGGAGAATAGCCTCGACCTGATTCCGTGATCAGTAGCCTCCAGAATCAAAAGAAAATGGCATTTCGGATAAATCGCCCGAAATCTGTAATGGTACCCCTTTAGAATTTTCCAAAAATTGACCAAGAATAAATCGGACCAAATCGGTGGTTACTGGACTCAATCATCGTTGGAGAATAGCCACAGGCCGAATCCGTGATCTGTAGCCTTCAATATCCAAAGAAAATGGCCTTTCATCGCCCAAGAAATTACAAAAATGTCGTTCGAAAATAAATTGGCCAAAATCGATTCTTAACGGACTTATCATCCATGGAGAATAGGATCAATAGACTTCATTATCGGCGGAGAATAGCCTCATCCTGATTCCGTGATCAGTAGCCTCCAGAATCGAAAGAAAATGACATTTCGGATAAATCGCCCGAAATCTGTGATGGTACCCCTTTAGAATCTGCAAAAAAATTGACCCAGAATAAATCCGACCAAATCGGTGCTTAATGTACTCAATCATCGTTGGAGAATAGCCTCAGGCCGAATCCGTGATCTGTAGCCTTCAATATCCAAAGAAAATGGCCTTTCGTTGCCCAAGAAATTACGAAAATGCCATTTGAAAATAAATTGGCCGAAATTGATGGTTAATGGACTCATCATCCGTAGAAAATAGGATCAATAGACTTCATTATCGGTGGAGAATAGCCTTGGCCTGATTCCGTGATCTGTAGCCTCCATAATCGAAAGAAAATGGCATTTCGGATAAATCGCCCAAAATCTATGATGGTACCCCTTTGGAATCTGCCAAAAACAGACCCCGAATAAATCCGCCCAAATCGGTGCTTAATGGACTCAATCATCGTTGGAGTATAGCCTCAGGCCGAATCCGTGACCTGTAGCCTTCAATATCCAAAGAAAATGGCCTTTCGTCGCCCAAGAAATAACGAAAATACCATTCGAAAATAAATTGGCCCAAATCAATGCTTAACGGACTTATCATCCGTGGAGAATAGGATCAATAGACTTCATTATCAGTGGAGAATAGCATCGGCCTGATTTCGTGATCGGTAGCCTTCAGAATCGAAAGAAAATGACATTTCGGATAAATCGCCCGAAATCTTTGATGGTACCCCTTTGGAATCTGCCCAAAATTGTCCCGGAATAAATCCTCCCAAATCGGTACTTAATGGACTCAATCATCGTTGGAGAATAGCCTCAGGCCGAACCCGTGATCTGTAGCCTTCAATATCCAAAGAAAATGGCCTTTCGTTGCCCAATAAATTACGAAAATGCCATTCGAAAATAAATTGGCCCAAATCGATGTTGAACGGACTTATCATCCGCGGAGAATAGGATCAATAGACTTCATTATCGGTGGAGAATAGCCTCGGCCTGATTTCGTGATCTGTAGCCTCCAGAATTGAAAGAAAATGGCATTTCGGATAAATCGCCCAAAAATTGACCCGGAATAAATCCGCCCCAATCGGTGCTTATTGTACTCAATCATCGTTGGAGAATAGCCTCAGGCTGAATCCGTTATCTGTAGCCTTCAATATCCAAAGGAAATGGCCTTTCGTCGCCCAAGAAATTACGAAAATGTCATTCGAAAATAAATCGGCCCAAATCGACGCTTAACGGACTTATCATCCGTGGAGAATAGGATCAATAGACTTCATTATCGGTGGAGAATAGCCTCGGCTTGATTCCGGGATCTGTAGCCTCCAAAATCAAAAGAAAATGGCATTTTGGATAAATCGCCCGTAATCTGTGATGGTACCCCTTTGGAATCTGCCAAAAATTGACCCGGAATAAATCCGCCCAAATCAGTGCTTAATGGACTCAGTTATCGTTGGAGAATAGCCTCAGGCCGAATCCATGATCTGTAGCCTTCAATATCCAAAGAAAATGGCCTTTCGTCGCCCAAGAAATTACGAAAATACCATTCGAAAATAAATTGGCCCAAATCGATGCTTAACGGACTTATCATCCGTGGAGAATAGGATCAATAGACTTCATTATCGGTGGAGAATAGCCTCGGCTTGATTCCGGGATCTGTAGCCTCCAAAATCAAAAGAAAATGGCATTTTGGATAAATCGCCCGTAATCTGTGATGGTACCCCTTTGGAATCTGCCAAAAATTGACCCGGAATAAATCCGCCCAAATCAGTGCTTAATGGACTCAGTTATCGTTGGAGAATAGCCTCAGGCCGAATCCATGATCTGTAGACTTCAATATCCAAAGAAAATGGCCTTTCGTCGCCCAAGAAATTACGAAAATACCATTCGAAAATAAATTGGCCCAAATCGATGCTTAACGGACTTATCATCCGTGGAGAATAGGATCAATAGACTTCATTATCGGTGGAGAATAGCCTCGGCCTGATTCCGTGATCTGTAGCCTCCAGAATCGAAAGAAAATGGCATTTCGGAAAAATCTCCGGAAATCTGAGATTCCTTTGGAATCTGCCAAAAATTGAATCCGAATAAATCCGCCCAAATCGGTGCTTAATGGACTCAGTTATCATTGGAGAAAATCCTCAGGCCGAATCCATGATCTGTAGCC